GCACAAATTAGCAGATGAGCCTGAGGTAAGGCATTACAAGTCATAGACTAGGCCTGATATACTTCCTCCAATAATACCCCCAATGACAATAATAAACATGCATGTATTCAAGTGAAAACGGTAGTTTAATCCATTAAAAAATTAACATATTTCATACTCAGAAACCAGATACAGAATATAGTAACCAAATATCGTATCAGAAATATACAGTAAATCATATATCAGATAAACAATATTCAGAAAATCAGGTATCATGTTGTAAAAATATTCAGCGTAATAAAAAATCTAAAACAGTTTAGATAAATAGTTTAAAACAGTAATGTAACACTATCAGGAAACACACTTGTACCGGTCTGAGTAGTTTGATAAGGAAACCTATTACCGAGTTTACCGATCACGATCAGCGGCAACACTAGATCCTACGAATCAAAAAAATCTATATTATAATCCTAATACGAATAATAATAACCTCTATTTAGACAATTTACAGAAACCTACGAGTAACTCTCGAAGAACGCAGATCAAGCGAATCTGACAGACAAGAAGCACCGGATCTAATCGACCATTGGTTGGGGGAAACACGAGTATGTTCATAAAAATATATACTCAAATCAATTCCATAATCAAATATTAAACAAATAAGCAAAAATGCTAAAAATACTAAGCATTTTTTATTAACATGCTCGATTCAAGGCTTTCGGGTTAGAATTTGGCAAAACAGGTCGCAAAATCAGACTCAGGACGTCGAAAAATTTCAAGATAGTGATTTTCGAAAAAAAGTCAACGGTGATCAATGGCCAACGATCAATGGTCGGTCAACTGTCAATGGCTGATCGATTCGGTTCGGGTTTGATTGAGTCAGTTCGGATTGGATCGGGCAGGCGGGTTAGGTCAGGTAGCTTCTAGAAGCCCACCAGGTGGTGAACCTTCCCCATGCGAAACGACGACACGTGAGGGCGCGTGCGGGGACTTCGGGGGTTGGAAAAATTATGGGAAATTTTATATATGTATTTTAAGGGGTTTTGAGACACTTATCAAGCTCGGTTCACAACGGTGAACGGCGGAGAGCTTGATTGCGCAACGTCAAAAAATTGTTCCTCACCCCTTCACACACCGGCGACAATGGAGACAAGATGGACATCGGTGAACTCGAGACGATGCAAGGAACACAATGGCGCGGGAGGTGTAAAAAACGGAATAACAGTCGTCGACGAAATATCGATTACATATTTTCTTTTAAATGAGGAAATATTGAAAAGAAAGTTATTTTTTTGGGTTTTTAAACCACATTTAAAAAATAGTATAATTACACTATAGGTCTTCCAATTTTAGTTGCTTTATTAATTTGGATCTAAATTTAATTAAAATTTCACTATGGTCCCTAAATTTAATTAAAATTTTAATTTAATACTCGAAATAAATTTTAAGAAAATTTTAGGCCCTAATTTGGAGTGTGACAATCTCAATATGAGTTGTGTACAATGCTTTCTCTTAACTCCATATTTATAAGCATAAGGAGTAGATATCATATAGAACTTTAACTCTAATTGATATAAAAGTATAATAATAAAGTGTATCAAAACCCTATCTTAAAGATAGAGATAGACATCCACATAAATAAATATTCATAACAAATATGAATATATTGTATTTTATAGTTGCTCTCAAGCTTTTCGATTCGAGTATCAAGTAGCTTATTTTGGCTCGTTAAAGACTTGAGTAAAGTTTAAGATCAAGTCAAGTCCATTCGAGTTGAATATTCATCAAACTTTGATCGAAGTAATTTTGAGTAGCTAACGATCTAATTCATCTCATTTACAGCCTAGGTGAGAAGAGTTAATTAATTTTCAGGGTAACGAAAAAAGGTAGTAGAGAATGATAATTTACGGTGATAATAAAAAGAGAATAATTTTTTTAAAATTTTAACACAAAATAAGACTATAATTTATATATATATATATATATATTATAGTCTACGTTAACACGCAATAACACTAAAAATTTGTACCAGTATTTTGAATTTAATAAGTTAATATCCTATTTGATTCATAAATTGAAAAATGTTTTTTTAATTGTAAATCTAGTCTTACATAAAGAAAATGAATAAAGAAAACTCTAGAAGAAAAATAATAGTAATCTTAACAAGTTTAGTACTCATTACCTAAAAAATATAAAAATTAAAGATAAATAGTTTATAACAAAAAAATAGAATCCTTTGTGCAATTACGGGAAAAAATAGATTTTGCATCTAATTGACTTGCGTAAATATGATTATTTCATTCATAAATTATTATAAACCACCTCGTTTGATTAACGGGTTACTTTATCTTATGTTACTAGAGCAAACCAATAATTATATTCCACGAATTTTATATTACATTATATGATACGTGGTTTTAACTATCCAATCATGTAATTGTTGAAGTAAAAACTAATGTTAAGTTTTGGCATAAAATAATGATTTGATTAAATGAAAGTGTAATGGATCGATATTCAAGGCATCAATCATGCGTGACAAAATAATGTGTAATGTCACATCATGTACGTCCATTTGGAAAATATGCACAATCGCTAATTGATTGTTGTTTACTAACTTTCATGTACAGAACAAAAACACTTAAAGCCTCGCAAAATCTTCATTGTTTGATTTCGGGGATACGACTCTTTAGCTTCTACAAACGAACAAAACCAAAAGTGGTTTTTTTAAAACAAAATGACCCCTCCCTTTTCCTATAATCGCCGTTCATGTCATGTCGGGTGAATTTTATTAGTTATCTTTTAATATACAAGAAAAACATTCACAATTTTTTCATGGTAAAATATTCTTTTTCCTTTTTTAAGGTAATACTGTAAAATAAATTTTTTTTTTAAATACCATCAACTTTAGGGGACTTTTAAAATATTGAAAATGATATTTTAAAATAAAACACTTTCAATCGTGTAAAACATTGAACAAGGAACTAAATAGATAAAGACATGTTTTTTTTTGAAGACATAGACATAAGAAATTAAAAACCATGGTCAAATTTGCGATGAGAAATTTCTCGCAAAGCAACAAACTTGCAGTTTTTGGATGCCCTAAATAGGATTTCTGGTTGTCAACCCCCACCCCACCAATATAATTGGTCTCATTCATTCCAATTTCAACAATGCCTGGAATTCTTGACCAAAACGTTTGTGCGTCTCAATCACTGTTTTTTTTATTAATATGGGGTAGATACAAATTGTTATCGGTTCAAAGATAACACTCAGTCATTTAGTATTGAACTCTCGAAACTCTGACATTTATGATGCTCGAATCTGGGACCTCATGAAATAACAATAATTCTTTTATCACTGACATCGCTCGGTTAATGTCTCAAACAACCCACAATTTCTTGCATTGTGATGTTATAGGTTGAATAAAGTGTTCTATAGACTCAAACAGCTATCTCCAACTTGTTATCCAAGACTTAAAGCAATTTCTCCTATATAATTATGCGTTAATTTCATGTTAATCTTATAATAAAAATGCATTCTTACGAGCCAGCATGGCAGCTTAAAAGGAAAAGGTCCATAGGTGTCTGTTTCCCACCTACTCCATTCACATTTCCTTCTCTGCCTTGTTCATGATTTAAACACTCTCTACATCTACATGCAGGAAAGGGAAAGGAGAAGGAGCCTCCCCTATTATGCCTAATTAATGTATACCCATCAATATGACTTATGACCACTTAAGTTTTACTCTCACACATGGAGCCATTCTCGTAGGCAAGCATTTCATGAATACAATTGCTTCTTCCCTTTTTCAAATCCTTTGGAATTTATTTGAAATTTTTTATATACGATTAATGGATAAACAAATTAAAAATTTATTGATATAAAGAAGAGATTATAATGATTTTAGAACTTTCATCCAAGTAGTACATATTTACTTTACTAGTAGGGTCGGATGGGATGCATATGACCCCACAAGGGGTCAAATACATGTCTATTATTTTATATTAGTTAATAAATATAGTCCAATATATTAAGGAAAGAAAGGGGGGAAATTGCATAGCTATTATCATAACTGTTTTATGTCAAGATTAATTATTTCATCAAGCATTTACTTGCACTGAGTGGACATAAATCTTTTGCATGAATGGAAGAAATTAGAAATTTAATTAATATTTAATTAATTCAATTAAACTTTTAAATTATTTGACTTTTATTGTTCTATTTTACTTAAAGTTAACGTTGACCAAATAATTAAAAAAAAGTTAAAAAGAAAATATGGGTGACAGATGGAAATAGGAAAAAGTTTTAAACATCATTATCTGAAATGGAATTATAAATTTTGTTAGCATCAACTGCACATGAAAACGAAGCAATAAAAAATCAAAGCTGCCCTAAATTGCTTTACCTCGCTTTCCAAAACAATTTCTCGTGATTCACACGCTCAAAACCAAATAGATTTGAATCAAAACATTTAATAAAATCCATCCAACTTAATCCAACCATAAATACATATCATAAACATCAAAATGTTAAGTTATTAAAATCTATAAAAAAACAACCCGCCCGATATACTAATTTATATAAGTAATTAATAATCAAATGCAATTAATTCGATTTAGTGCCTATTTTTTGTTTGGGTTATTATATGTATAACAAGATCCAATGGTTCACAAGGCAAAGGTATTTTGGTTTTATGGTTGGATCATTCGTTAGTTGTGGTTGGCCGGTTCCTTCTTCACCTCAAAACAATCTTATACAACATTTGGAAGGTCTTTTATACACAGAGTTGTATATTTTAAGATCTACATCTCATATTTTTTTATTTCTCTTTTAAAAATATAATAAAATACACGTAAGCACAAACGAGGAGTATATTTGTCAGCAGCTTTATAAATTTTAAGGGTCTCTCTCTCTCTCTCTATATATATATATATGTTTGTGTGTGTGCACTTGTTAGTCCCTGAAACCCAAGTACTCTAGACCTCCATTTTTCTTTCAGTATTTCAATACATTTTCTGAAAATGCACGCTGGTCCGGTGCTTCTAAGTTTCATCACAGCAGCTACGCTGGTGACAATAACTCCGGTCACCGGATATCGTCCATTGCCCCACTTAAAACCCAACAGCTCTGGTTTACAGCTCGGCGGCTCCAAGAAATTCGAGGGTTCATCGAGTTTTGTCCACATGAGATACCACATGGGTCCAGTTCTCACCGGCAACATTACCGTCCACACGATTTGGTACGGAGGGTGGCAGAAATCCCAAAAGAAGATCATCCGCGACTTCATCGGCTCGATCTCCGCCGTCAATGCCGAGCACCCTTCGGTTGCTGGGTGGTGGGAGACCGTACGACTTTACGACGACCAAACGGGCGCCAACGTATCCGGTGAAGTGCGTTTAGGGCAGGAGAAGAACGATCGTTTTTACTCCCAGGGAAAGTCACTAACGCGCTTGTCGCTGCAGTCCGTCATAAAAAGCGCGGTAACCGCGAGGACGAAGCCGTTGCCCATAAATCCACAAAGCGGGCTCTATCTGGTTCTCACGTCCGATGACGTGTACGTGCAGGATTTTTGCGGCCAAGTTTGTGGGTTCCACTACTTCACGTTCCCGTCCATCGTGGGCTACACGCTCCCGTACGCATGGGTGGGTAATTCCGCGCAGCTTTGCCCGGGGATATGCGCCTACCCGTTCGCCGTGCCGGAATACATGCAGGGGGTGCAGCCGTTAAAGTCACCCAACGGCGACGTGGGTGTGGACGGGATGATAAGCGTGATCGGGCACGAGCTGGCTGAGCTGGCGACGAACCCATTGGTGAACGCTTGGTACGCGGGGGATGACCCAGTGGCTCCCGTTGAAATAGCTGATTTATGCGAGGGTATTTATGGAACTGGAGGTGGTGGTTCTTATATGGGACAGGTATTGGAGGGTAGGGATGGTGCCACGTATAACATGAATGGGATCAGACGGAGGTACTTGGTTCAATGGGTTTGGAACCATATTGTGAGTTACTGTACTGGACCCAATGCTCTTGATCAGTAACTGTTTTTGTAACCTACTTTTGGGCAAAATCAACGAGATAATGCGTTGAATTTTTTTTTTCACGAGATAGTGTCATCGCCAGATTAATTGCTCAGATGGGGTGATCTCTATAGTCCCCATATAGGTCGCCATGCACGCCCAGCGACCTACCAGGTCGCCATGCACCTAGGTAGGTCGCCATGCAATCCATGCAGCCCCCAAAGGTCGCCATGCACGTCCCAACACGCTGGGCATCCGAGACCATCCGATCGAGGCCATCTGAAAGCATCCGAGGCCATCCGAGAGCATCCGAGGCCATCCGAACGAGCTATGCGAGGAAATCCGAGCAACCGAGCGAGGGTAGATCGCCCGGAGTGCATGGCGACCTACAAGGTCGCCCGGTTGCCCTCAGATTCCCTCGCATAGCTCGCTCGGTTGCCTTCGCATAGCTCGTTCGGATGGCCTCGGTCGGATGGCCTCGGATGGCCTCGGATGCTTTCGGATGGCCTCGGTCGGATGGCCTCGGTCGGATGGCCTCGGTCGGATGACCTCGGATGCCCAACGTGTTGGGACATGCATGGCGACTTGGTAGGTCGTTGGACGTGCATGACGACCTACCCCAGGAACGTGGGACTGTAGAGATCACCCCATCTGAGCAATTAATCTGGCGAGGGTACTATCTCGTGAAAAAAAAAATTCAATGCATTATCTCGTTGATTTTGCCCCTACTTTTGGGTACCATTTGTTTAACATATAATTTTTGTACCTTGCCATAATTATTACAAAAATAATTTAGCTCTTAGATTCGAATATTACCAAGTATTAATATTTAACAAAATGATTCGTAAAATTGAAGAGTTTACATATAAAATTTAAACCATAACCTCAGAGTAGCCAAACGTATAATAAATTGCAAAAGTGCATAGACTATTATTTTAAGAAAATGTTATAAACTTGATAGATCCAAAAATATTTTTAAAGGTAGATATATATATTAACAATATAATTTTTTTAAATGAAATGCGCATAAATAAAATTTTAAGATAGTCGTCATCCACAAATAAAATAAAATTTTAAAATGGAGAATATCAATAAAATAAATAACTAATCTAAGAAAATTTCGATTTACACGCGACTCCGCCACTGTTGTAAACATGTTTTAGTTGTTAATTAAATGAAGTCGATTCATTTAAAATTAAGTTGTAGCGTAATAGAAAAGCCATGTGAACAGCCACTTCTCCTGAATTTCAACTTGCCTACAAAAATCAACCAACTTGCTTTAGTCTTGCCTTTATTCAAACAACATATACGTCTCTCCTATAATAAAGTAGGTTTCATATTTGTATCGACAATACCTGTGAAGATTAGATGAATAACCTCGTGTATGTTGGATATAGAACTTGATTCGTCAGTATCCGGCATCCTATTCAACATCAAGTCAGATTAAGATGTTTGCTATAAAACCAGCTGTACCTCATACCCACAGATATCGAAAACCTTTCTTCAAGTCCGAGATTCTAAAAGAAAGACATGCTGACTTTCAATAGTTGGATGAAAAGAATAGTCATATCATATCAAATATTAACAACTAAAATAAATATTCAAAGACATTTGTGAGACAAATCGATATATGATTTAATTACATTACACGGCATTTTAAATTTTATAATATTTTAATTCAATCATCAAAATATTAATATACTCTTCATCAAGTCATTTCATCATTTCATTATTAGTTTGAATGTTAAATAACAATTCAAATGTGTACACTAGCAGCCAACTAAACTGAAGAATGTGTACAGTGCCGTAATGTATAAGTTACAGCAATCGACTTACGCGGCACATCTCGATTATCAGCTGCTAAAAACCCCTACACAATGCTCTAATGATAACAAGAAATTCTTGATCGCTTACAAGTTAGAAACCTGGCAATTTCACAGCTGATGTCCCTATGTTCTTTTACCCCTAGACCGTCTGTTAATTTTATTATTTCTTTTCCTCCCATATTCAGATCTATATTATATCTCCGACCACTTACCGATAAGCAGGTGTTCATTGTCCAACAGTTTAATTTCTTCCAAACAACTCGTGACATCAGGAACTATCCCTCCGTTGCGATACCTTACAATCCCTTCACCCACCAGATCAGTCTACAAATTATATATATATATTACTTCATTAGACATCCGTGCAAAGTGTGAACACAAATTATGGTGCTCTAGTGCCGTAATTTGAGATCTATAAAGTTGCTGCATTCAGCTCCTTGAGCTTGTGTAAGAATGTGTCGAGCTCATATTTATATTTTACGTACGAAAGAACTGAACAATTATACTTTATTCTTATGCATTAACTTATTATTGTAAAGTTCACCTGCACCATAGATGAGAAAGTGACTGAACCGTAGATGCATGTGTGTCCCCTCCACATGCTTCTCATTGCTGTGTTGTCTTTTCAAATCTGAAACAATAGAACCGATGTCTCTTGGCACAGATAAATGTTGTGCAAAAAGCGTTTGGTCAACCAAAGCATAAAATATCTATAAATGCCACATGAAAGAAATAAAACTTTGTCAATTATTTTTCATTTCCATGGAATAAATGTGCTTTAAAACATTACATACAGATTCATTCAGAGAAATAGATAAACCTGGCGTTGCAATTCAGTTGCTGCAAAAATGTCCCTTGCACCATTTAGTGGTTTTACCAACTTCTCAGGAATCAATTCTCCAGTTGAATAATGCTTTGCAAATTTCCTCAGGACTCGGTAATCCCGAGCATAGTACCTAGAAGCATTATCGAATCCGTCAGTTTGTGATAAGGCACTGGACACATGTTAAAAATATTAAAATTCACAATACACATGCATGCACAGTCTCCCTCCCTCTCTAGGATATCAGTTAGGAAGTAACAAAATGAGCACGTCAAACTTAAAACGAACCCTATATAAGAATCAACTTGAGAACACAAATAGATACATCTCTCCCATAGTGCGGAGCAACACATGCATTTTAATAGTATCCATTCAGATTTGCTTTATTTCAAGTCATATATTCCAAAAGCAATCTTAGTTTTCTCGGCAATGAAGAAATATGTCAGCATGTTACAGTTGCAACTCCAGCATTCTACTTACTCAAATAGGTTCGAAGGTGTCTCAGCAAAGTCAAGAGCCACCCTTGTGCCTGAAAAATGTTGGTAATCCTACATGAATAGCCAAATGATTATGATGAAAACAGTAGACTTATACGGAGTTTGCTTAGTGGTAAAGTCTCAACAAAATACCGTTCTTGAGTGCAATGCATTGGAGATCATGTCCAAACTCATGAAATAGAGTTTCTAGTTCTCTGTAATTAAGTCGCACAGTTGATGAATCATGCGACCTTGAAAAATTGAAAACAAGGGCCATAAGCTGCATAAATACCAATCTAAGTAAACTTCCAAATGAAATTAATATTCAAACAACAAAATAATTTTCACAATTAACAGGGAGAGAAAAAGAATTTCATTTAAAGTACATGACAAACAATAAATTTTGTTTAAATGAAAAACATAACAAAGTGCTAGAAAGCGAGAAAAGTATGCAAACAAAGTTAACAAGTGTTTAGTTACAGGGAGTTGATATTCACTATCAGAAATTTTTCGTCCCCTTTTAATAGCAAAAGTAGCACAACCAGGATATTTGCCTTTCCTTGAATACAGATCAAGGTAGAGATACCCTAAGTCACCCTGAAACAAATGCATAATGCCTCATTACAATGGTGTAATATAAATGAAACTAAAGAAAAGTTGGCATAACATTTCCAACATGCATAAACTTTGTGACCGAAGCATCCATGTTTCTTATATCCAGTGTATTTCTGTTACAAAAAGATGAATAAAGCATGTGGGCTCAAATTGAATTCAGAATTAGAAATAAAACAGGTAAATTCAAATCTCTCCAGAACGCAACTATTCTAAGTGTTCAACGCAAACATCAATATAGTAAAACAAAAGTTAGGACTTAATGCTATCAAGAAAATTTAGAACCTTAAACAGTTGGGGAAAGAATTAACTTTTGAGGATAAAAAAAGAATCAAACATCTTAAAGGGATCATCCTCTACTTATGAAGGAAATAAATTCTGAGACCAGGACATATGCTTTCCGTCTCCTCAGTATTCTTCACAGTATGAAGTTTTTTCCCAACTACTCTACACCTTTCCATCATCCATTCACATACCTCTTCAGGATGATGAATACACATTTCAAGCACATTGGGATGCCATGATTCACCAGGTGCCATGGGGAAGCTATCAAAGCTTGCACCAAAGAGTGACTTTACCAAAAGTTTCAAGCCCTCAATACACTGTGGCAGAGAGAAATATGATGCCACAACCTGCCAGAATTTTGGGATAAAAAACTCTCAAGAGACCCTATAATATAAAAAGTAAAAACTCGAACTTTAAGACAGTAATCAGTATAAGTGAAATGGAACTTTGATCATTATAAATTGTAAGCAAAACCGCGAAGTTTATAACCTACAGAGGAGTCCAAATTGTAGGCAGAAGATTTCAACACTGTCGTGTAGTATGCCTCATCCCATGGTTCTAGATCTACACATCTTTGGCCACATAAATCCCTCTTCAAATTTCTAATTGCCTTAAACTCCTGTAGGGAAAATGAGAAATCAGTAATGCAATGGCAATAGAATCTACAACGACCTATTAATCAACACCACATCTCACAAGTTCTAATAAGAAACTCATTATACCTCATCAGCCCTTGCTTTGACCATATTGCTTATCTCAAGCAAAAAGGACACAACCACCTCTGGTGATGAAGTCATGTTTAGTTGCATTACAAATTCAGCATAGGACTTATGATCCATTATCTGCATCATTCGATAGCAGAAAATTAGTAGCTCGCGAATTTAAGAATTTGTTTAAAAATTATATTCTATAATGTGAAAATAATCAATAATCCCAGCCAACTTTAATTTTTACCCACATCACAACCATTTCGAAATATTCAAAGAAACTAAGATATAGCAGGTTATTATTTCTAA